AGTGAGAGATGCTTCCTGAGGCATCTATACCTTGAGTATGTTTGTACAAGAGAGACAAGACGGCAGATGGAGGATTTCTATAGGACTCTAATGGTTGATTGATCTAATGAACATCAGTCCAAATACTTGCCTTAAGCATAACGGTTGAAGGGAGAGAGATGTACCAGGAGGAATTTTCATGACCAGCATTGTCGGCTCTACTTACCTTTGTGTTAAAACAGTAGGTGGTCTCGGAGTTAAAGCAGAGCTTTCTTCATGGGAAAGGTAAGTTGAGTATTGTTTGTGCAGTCTACTTGGTAGATAGATATTTGTAGCAAGATGTGGTAGAAGCAGCAGTGATATAGTATGTCTTTGCTTTACTCTTAAGCTTGGGTCCTTACCTTATGATCCCTGATGCATAACTTAGTACTCAACCGCTTTGTCAAGGGAGGATTCTTATTTTAAGAAGTTAAGAACAAATTAACTAGCTGCAGAAATCGGGAAAGCTCATTGATCTTAGAGAAATTTTGTATATGTTGGTAGAGACTAGTTTTTATGTAACACTCTATTTAATTAGGAACAAAGGAACACGATTCAAATGAAAATTTAAAATGTCATATTGAAATGAGGATGTTGAGTCGTCTTCACTTAATAGAAGGAAAAACGACCTAACTTTATATTTAGAGATTGGTTTCATGCTTTTACACTTGTACTTATTATATATCAAACTATAAAAGACACATCTCTTTTTTTTCATCCTTTTTTTACAGTCTTAATTGTTTTATTTTAGTTCTCACACACTATAATACAATATTTTCTTCATGTTTTGGTACATTTTCCCGTCATTCTCTTAACTTGTTAATAATGACGATCATAATTGGAAGAAAACCTTGCCTCGAGATATCTAACCACGTTCACATCCAGCTGAAACGCTTTAGCTAAAATCTCCGGCGTAATCAAAGGCTTCGATCCAAAAACCGCGTCTGCGATTGTTATCGTACCTGGATTTTGGCTACCAAGACCAGCAAACGCAACTGCGTTCGTCCTCCCAACGTTCACTTGAAAATGTATCATTCCTATGGGAAACACAAATACGTCTCCCGGGTAAAGAACCTTTGAGAACAATCTGTTGTTGTCTTGGTTCGATGTCACAAACCCGACTAAGAGCGTTCCTTCGACAACCACGAGGATCTCGGTGGCTCGTGGGTGCGTGTGTGGTGGGTTTTGACCTCCCGGGGCAAAGTCAATTCGGACAAGAGACACACCGAGTGTGTTGAGTCCAGGGATTTTGTCAACGTTAGCGTTTGTAACGTTGGAGCCAACGCGGTTTATAGTGTTTCCGGCAATGTTTAGTCCAGAAGTAAAAAAGTCTTCAGCTTTCACGTATTTTGGGTCTTTGCAGAATTTTCCATTCACGAAAACTGAAAAATAGATTAAAATCGTATACTGTATTAAGTGTAGAGTTATTGATGTTATGTAAAATAAACGAACACTTCATTTTCTAGTTAGATAATTTCTCACTAATGTTAAAGAGTAAATAGTTTCTTATAATTAGTACGATATTAAGGAACCATATTAAGGAGAGATTACCGCCATTAGCGTCATCGACGGCAACACAAAAGT